GACCTCTCGGCGCAGGGCTCCCCGGCCGCGGCGCACGGGCCTGACGTGTACGTACTGCCACTCACCGAGGTCTCCCTGCCCATGGCCAAGCAGCCAGGGCGCTCAGGTGAGTGGGCCAGGCGAGGCAGGGCTGGGGCACCGGCCAGCTCACCCTGCCCTCCAGCACTCACCTGAGCGCGGGCCGGGGCCGGCTGCAGGGGGTGCTCGCGCCCCTCCTAGGCCCGTTAGTGGGTTCGGGGCAGGCTCTGGTCATGGGGCAGGCCCCTGCCGCCTTTAGGAGGTTTGACCGCCTTAGGGCCCCAGGGACAGGGCCCCATTGTGCCTACAGGCAAGGCCACCGTGGGGGTGGGGCCCATAGCACTCCCCTGTGGGCTGGATGTGAATTGGCCTTTCAGTCGGCCAGGGGCCGGGCTGGGGGCAGAAAGCATGGGGGGGGGTCTCGCCCAGCAGGCGCAGGTGCAGGAGGAGCTTCTCCCAGGGCTCTTCCTCCCACATCCGCCATTGCCCCTTCCTGGGACCCTGCCCTCGCCTGACCACCTGCCACGCTCCAGTGGCATGGGTGGATGGCTGGGCCTCTGGAAGCCCACTTCTGCCCTGGTGCCTGGCAGCGGGCAGGTGGCTGGGCCTCACCTCCTCAGCAGTCAGGTCTTGCCCACAGGCTCCAGGACTTCCCCTCCTCACTCCTCCAGGAACACGGAAGAAGGGGTTTGCCCTGCTGTGGCCTTGCCACCTCCATAGTGGCCTGGGAGCCTTGGAGCAGATCTGGGGAGGGCACAGCCCACGGCCTAACTCCCGGATCAGGCCTAATGCTCACACACTGGAGCGGAGGTGGGGGTGGGGGTGAGCTGGGACCCCACGGACCTGAGCCCTAGGGACTCCTACCTCCTGGACTGTCCCTGGGCAGGAGGTGGCTGTTTTCCCCACGTTTTGCCGCTCTGGTCTGCTTTCTGGGGGTACTCCTCTTTTGGGGGAGGGTCAGAGGTTGGGGCAACAGGTGCATAGCCAGCAGAGCAGGCCACCCTTGCCTGGCCCGCGGTCCTGACAGTGATGGGGTTTTCTGTTGGTGCGCCCCTCTGCCCACACTGACTCGATGTCCCTGCAGGAACCCCTGAGCCTGCTCGGGGACGGGGAGGGCTTGGGGTGTTCAGGACATGGGGTCCAATGGAACCACCCTGGGTTCTGCTCAGGGTCCCTCCTGTCCCCCTAGCAGCCCAGCTCAGCCCCACCCCTGGCTCATGGCACCTGCGTGGGAGCAGAATTCGGGGAATCCCTGGCCCTGCCCCTGCCCCGCTGACGGCACCAGCCGCTGCAGGAGAATGGCCCAGTGTTGTACTGTGCAGCCCCAACAAAGGGGCCTTGGTGCGGGCTGTGGGTGCCGGCCTGTGGCAGGGGCGAGGGGACGGGCGGCGCTGGTGCCCACCCCCACCCATGCTTCGGCGCCAGCGTTTGCCCAGACACACTGCCTGCCGGGGCCGCCCGGGCAGCAGGTCCAGCCCAGGCCTGCTTGTCCCCCGTGGCTTCGCTGGGCGCCCCTTCTGTAGGCTCTCCCTGGCTGCCCGACAGGCCTGCGCAGCCGTGGCCCTCCTGGGCGACAGCCAGCCCTGCTCTGGAGGGCTGCAGCTCCTGGTGGCAGCTTTGGCCTCAGGGTCCAGCCCACTCTCCCCAGTTGGCGCTGGGCGACTCAGGATGGCTCTCCAGGGCGGGCTGGGTGGGGAAGGCAGCTGCAGGGAGTCCCTAAGGCCCCTGGCCTGTCACAGTGCAGCTCCTCAAGTCTGCAGACCTGGGCCGGCACAGCCTCCTGTACCTGAAGGAGATTGGCCACGGCTGGTTTGGGAAGGTGAGTGCCGGCCCCTGGCGCCCCGAGGGGCAGGTGGGAGGACATGGGGCAGGCCTGTCTCTCCTGGGCCACCCACTGGCCCCTCTCTGGGGCCCACCCTGGGAAGGCTTGGGGTCTAGGTACGGCCCTTCTGTTCAGGTCCTGGGTGCTGGGAGGTGCCTGTAGTGGGGGGCAGCACCTTGGGCCTGGCCTGTCCCCTAAGCTCCGGCCTGGCTTGGATGACTGAGTCCCTCTCAGAGTGAGGACAGCCGGGCCTGGGAGAGGAGGGCAGTGAGGACAGGCGGCTGAGCTGGGGCTGCTGGGCGATGCCCATGCCCACAGGTGTTCCTGGGGGAGGTGAACTCGGGCGCCAGCGGCACGCAGGTGGTCGTAAAGGAGCTGAAGTCGAGCGCCAGCGTGCAGGAGCAGATGCAGTTCCTGGAGGAGGCGCAGCCCTACAGGTGGGGGCGGGAGGCTGCTGACGGGCCGGGCAGGGCTGCTGACCAGGGCGGGCTCCGTGGGCTCCCCGCGGGGTGCGGCCAGCGCTTGCTCTTGCAGGACAGTGCAGCACAGCAACCTGCTCCAGTGCCTGGCCCAGTGCGCAGAGGTGACGCCCTACCTGCTGGTGATGGAGTCCTGCCCGCTGGTGAGCCACTGCCCTGCCGCTTGGCTGTGCCCGGCTGCCGCCGCCCCGGGGCCTCCTGCGCTCCCTTACGGTGACCAGCATCCCCACCCTGGGGCCAGGCCTCTCCTGCACTCCGGTGGCCCCTGCCTGCTTCCTGCCAGTGGGCCCCCACTCCTGGCTCCAGTGCCCTTGCCTGGCTGTAGCCGCAGAGCCCTGCTGGCCACTCCCAGGGCTGCCACCGAGCCCTGTGCCTGCTGTCGCCCCTGTGTGGCACTGGGCCGAGGTACAGGACTTGGGCTCACCAGAACTCACCTGTCTGCAGTGGAGCCATGGCCCTGCTGGCTTCCTGCAGCATAGCTGGGTGCGTGAACTCTGCCACCTGGGCCCTCCTAGAGCTGAGCGGTGGCAGCAGCCAGGAGCTGCCAGCTGACCCTCTGGTCACCAGCCCCAGGTCCTGTCCTGGCTCAGAAGTGGCTTACAAGTCCCCACGCACGGGGTTTCTGACTGTGAATGACCCGCAGGGCATTCTGGGAAAGGGCAGTTGTGGTCTCATCCCTGGGCGCACGGCCTGCCTGAAGGCACAGCTGGGCACCGGCCACTGGGGGCCAGTCCCTGGCGGAAAGCAGCGGTCCCTCGGGGCTGGCAGTGGGTCATGGGCTCAGCCCCACGGTGCCGTCAGGAGGGAGGGCACGGTGAGTAGGCACACGCAGGTGCCCACCCCAGTGGCAGGGGCCGCACTGTGCTCCTTCTCGGCAGGGCGACCTCAAGGGCTACCTGCGGAGCTGCCGGGCGACTGAGTCTGTGGTGCCTGACGCCCTGTCGCTGCAGCGCATGGCCTGTGAGGTGGCCTGCGGCACCCTGCACCTGCACCGTCACAGTTTCGTGCACAGGTGAGGCCAGTGAGGCCCTGGGGGCGGTGTCCACTCGGCCCTGGCCTCCTCACCTGCAGAAGGGGCACTGTGAGGACCACCCGAGCGACCACTACCATGGGACGCTGCTGTGCGTCGTAACAGCAGGGAGGGGGGCCTGAGCGCTGCTTGCAGGAGCCTTAAAAGCGAGGAGCAGTGCACCCACTGCCCGGGCTGCCCCCGAGGTGGCTGCCTGCACGCGGCGGCTACCCGGCCCAGACGTGGGCTCAGCGGGCCCTTGCTGGGGGAGGTGTGACCCTGCTTCTGGCTAGCAGTTGGAAAGACGGGCGGGAGGCCCAGCCTGGAGCGCGGAGGGACGTGAGGAAGACGTGGCGATGACGAGTGGGCGCCGCCCGGAGCCGCACGGCCGCA